GGCCCATGCCTCCTCCTGTCACCTCCTTCCCCTGGCCCTTCAACCAGACCATTTCTTCATCAGTCTTAGAGCCCCAAACCTGAGCCCTGCATCCTCATTCTCAGCAAAACATCTCACCTCCTGCTTGACTGTGGAAATTGTGGCCCTAACCCTGCACTGTCCCTCAAAGCCTGTAAGTCCACGCAGATCAGCATCCACTCCCACCCGCTTCAGTCCAGCCCCAGAGGAGGTGTGTTTCCTCCTCTTCAAGGCATCAACCCCGCACGTGTCCTTCTGACCCAGTCTCCTACCGTCTCCCTTTTCCTTAGACAAAGGGGATGTCACCGTGATCAAGGCATACTACAGAACTCACTACTGCCATGGAGCAATCCAGTGCCATCTGTGTGTATGAATGAATCCTGAAGTCCACCCCTGAAGCATCCTACAAATTCTGTGCAATTTCAAGGTCTACAGACAGTTATGTACAATCTGGCAAGCTGACTTGGTGGGGGTGGACAGCTCTCCATTTGGGAAAAGGTACACATAAACAAATGTAAATTCCAAACGGCTTAAAGATCTAAAAAAATTGTAAGAATAATGGAAGAAAATGTAGGCAATCTTTTTGTAACTTCAGGTGGAAACAGCCTTCCTAAGAAAACGTAAAGTCCAGAAGCCACACAAGAAACACTGATAGATTAGCCTACGTAAAAAGTTTCCTTCTGTAGCACAGAAGACAACAAAAAGCATGAAACACAAATACTGCGCTGTAAAACGTGCTAACGACCACTATGCAGAAGGCATCACGAGTGTCTATGAATTAGTCAGGCAGCTCTACAGACAGAAAAGGAAAGAAACAACACAAACTGCAAACACCAACCAGCTGGAAAGCAAGAAAACACGAGCGTCACAAATGAGAGAAGACAATCGCGTGACACAGTGAAGCAACGAGATGCCCGTGGTTACCGGTTCCCCCTAGACCGGCCAAAGGCAGGACGGTAGGTAACACTCAGGACTGACAGGGGGTCAGGGAATGGGCGTCCCCGCCCTGCTGGCAGCTGGGTGGACTGGGCCGACTTTTTCGTAAGCAGTCCGGTGATAACCATCATTCTGAATGCACGTACCCACTCGCTGAGCAGTCACACGTCCAAGAATCCGTATCACAAAACAGCAGGACAGAAACTACCCACAGGGGCCCCTCCTTTGAAGGAGGGGTGTACCCCCGCAGACTGCCTGCCCTCCGGTGAGAGTGCCCACCCCGCAGCTCTGTGCGTGGCAGGGGGCCTTCCAGGCGAAAGCAGCCGCTGGGGGGGGCGTGCACCGCGTGCTCGGTTACAGTGGTAACGCCGGCCGCCCCAGGAAAGCCCTCCCCTGGCTGGAACTGGGTACTGTTCCAAGGCCTCACTGTGGCGAATCAGAGTCGTTACAACCCTCCACGGCAGGACGGTGTCCCTGCTCACAGATGAGCAGGGAGAGGGGCGAGGTTCAGAGCCTCCCAGCTGGTCGTGGATCTGAACCGGAGCAGATCCGAAGCGCACGCCGAGACCCGCGGCGCAGGGCGCGTCTCCGGGGGAAGAGGGCTGGCCCGCGGGGCGCGCGCACACGCGACAGAGGAAGCCGAGCCGGGAGCGCCTTCTCTGCTGCACGACTCTGACCTAAAGGACGGGGGTGGGGTGGGGGGGTCCAGCCAGCCTCCCAGCCGGCCTCTCGGCTCGTAGAACTCACCAAGGTTCAGGTGGGCGGTTTTTCTTACTCAGTAGAATACGACAAAGTAAACATTTATAAAAAGTCAGCCTTTGCATATAAAGGTGATACTACTGTCTCGCACAGGTCAGTCATGTTTTTTTTTCCCTGTTACTGAATTAGGAGCTAAACCATTAAGTGTCTTTCCTGACATCGTATAATCAAAAATTTGTTTTGAATCATTTAACTTACAGCAGTCGCTGAACAGGTTCTCCCTGAGCAATGCCAACTTAATCCCTCGGGGGCTGAAACTGTGGCCTTGACAGGATAATCCGTCCACTGGAGTTACCTGTTCCAGTGGAATATTCTGGGAAGGCAAATGATCAAAATATTAACTATAAGAAAACTAGGAGTTAAAACTTGATTAGCCTCAGAACGAGAAGTCTAAATAAAATATCTACTTAAACAGAAAATGCTTTAAAAAGTAACTGCATGGTAAATGCAGGTAAAAATATCGTATATTTGAAAGTTGCTAAGAGAGTAATGTTAACAATTCTCATCACAAGAAGAAAAATCGTAAACTATACGTGGTGATGGATATATTGACAATCATCTTGCAATATATATACATGTCAAATCACGATGTCGTCTGTACAACTCAAACTAATACAATGTTATATGTCAATTACAGCTGACCCTTGAACTACATAGGGGTTAGGGGCACCAACCCTCCACCAGGTTGAAAATCGACATAGAATTTTAGTCGGCCCTCCACATCCTGGGCTCCGCACCTGTGGATTCAACCAACCGTGGATCCTGTAGAACGATAGTAGGTACTGAAAAAATCCACATTGTAAGTGGTCCTGTGCAGTTCAGACCCATGGTGTTCAAGGGTCAACTGTAAACCACAATTCTTTCAGTTTTCAGTGCGGAGAGGATTCACGAGCATTTGACCTTATGGAGATGTATGGATGAACTTAAAAAGAGAATTAAAATTGGAATTATCCAGGAGGAAGGGGAATGGGCCTGAGAAATCGAGACACTCACCTGCAGCTTTAACACTCTCCAGATCAAAAATGCTTCTGTGATTAACCAGAAATCTTAGTAGTGCTCCCACAGGTTTTGATGTTCTAAGTACTTTTATTTAGAATCATTACATGTTTACTTAACTCAAATATTCATCCAAAATAATTCAGGATTAAAAAAAAATTTTTTTCCCATTGCTTGCTACAGAAATGCATCTCAAACTGGCTTAAACACAAAGGAAACTGCCTGGCTTTCAATTGCTGGTGGTCCGGGGTGGTTCCAGTGTCCCCACGGCTGGACCCAGACGTGCAGTGCTGTCCAGACCGTCCCTCCATCTCAACTTCCCTGGGCTCATCACACACGGTGGGGGATGGGGGACGGGGTACAGGGAGCCCCAGGGGCAGCTCCTGCTGGCCCAGCTAGCCCAGCCCAGGAGAAACAATGCTTCTCCCATCTTTCCCACAGTTACCCGGGGGAAGGAGCGCAGGGTGGGGCACTGAACGACAGGCCCCGCAGGGTCACGTGGAGGTGAGGTGTCCCCTAAATGAACCAGAAGAGATGTTTGGGAACGAGCACCGGAAAGACAAAAGGCACAGCTGTGCACTCCCCCTTCCAGGGCTATACATCGGCTATACTTCCTATTGGCAATATTATCAAAATAACTTGGATACATACTGGGAACCACGTATTAGGGCAAGAAGAAACCCTTTCATGTCAAAGCAGCTCCGTCTTCCAATTATGTAAACACCTGGGTTAACTGAACCGGACTGGATGGCCCAGCACCTATAAAACGTTCTTTCTCTTTGCAGTCAAGGTCATTAAGGAGAAAATAATAGTAATTAGGTGTCTTTTTATGGCGCGGGGAGAAGAACCAGAACAAGTCACTGGAGGCAGCCATCTGTGCTTTCATTTTCCATCTACCGGTTGGATAAACAAGTAGAAGAGTACACAGGACCATCTGAACGACTGTTTAATTAATAATAAAACTATTGCATCACTCTGCAGAACTGAAGTAGCAGAGAGACCTCCAGAGACGCAGGCTTGTGACACCTCTTCCTCTAGAGCCGGAGGCTGAAACATCACCAGCCGCTGGTTACCCGCCTGCTCCTGCAGGACCCGACCGGTGGGACACTCTCCACGTCTCAGCTCCCACAGCCAAGACGAAATGGAACACAAACATAACCAAGGAAAACTATTTCATGAGTGCCTATTGCGTGACACCCGACCTAGGTTCTAAGCACAGCAACGAACACGTCTCCCGCAGACGCGTACTGCCCCACCCTCACGTCACAGCTCTCGGTTTCCAGCACAGCCACGTGATGAGATGTCCCGGCACGTCTGTTACTTCTGCCTGATTTCACCCCACTTCAGTTTCTTCAACCCAGTTCTTCATCACTACCTAGGAGCTCGTCAGGCAGTAATGCTCCTGTTTACCATGAAGTAGCATCTTCAATGTTGGTTCCTTGCTTATTTTTGAAACTTACAGAAATATGTGGATTTTACGTCAATGACTATTCACATTCCATTTCCCAGTGGGACATTCAGATCTTCCTGAGTGGCTAATTTCTACAGCTAAGTGGGCAAAGGGGGGCCACAGAGGGCAGGACAGAGTAACTGTTGATTAAAACTTCTAAAATCACAATACTTTAACTGTAGTTTTTGATTCAGTTCAAATCCCCAAGCACACCCTGCCCTGTAGATAATCACTGTCAAAATCTAGCCTGTTATTCCTCTTGCTGTCTTGTTGATATTTAACATTCTTCCACTTGTAAGGCACGCACAGATTCCAACGTCTGCGTGCACAGGAGCATCTCAGAGCTCCCAACACGGCTTCTCAACACCTGCACCGACGCTCATCACCTCTCAGCTGAGCAGAAAACCACGGTGGAGATTTTCTGCTTTCCCAGGACGGGTCTTCATGAGCTGCCACTCTGTCCAGCTTAGTTCCTCTGTGTGTTCATTTAAGTTACTTTGCCCTGGAAATAAGCATTATCAAATATCACCCTTGGGAACATTTACTTCCGGATACTTTATAACTGGCGGCTAGTTTTCAATGTAAGACTCACTCTCATATTACATCAGGTGCCCACAAGGGATGCACTCATGTGCTCTGCTCAGAACCACCCCCGCGCCCTTCAGCAGGGGTCCAGGAGGAGAGACAGACACTACAGCTCAGTACTAGTTCCTGCTTAAACCAGGCAGCCGTCATTTAACTAAAACTGGGCTTTAAAAACACCTGAACAGTTGAGAAAGGAGAACTTTTTAAACAAAAGATAAAGCAAGCGTCAATGCCTAAATAAAATGACAAAATGTGATACATGTTTAGTAACAAGAAACTTTATTGAATTACAAATTTAAAAATGGATCACTTTATTTAAAAGTGGAGCTACTTTAATTTTATTCTTCTTAAACTTATTCTTTCAAAAAGGTACTTTACTTTTCAAATGACAAGTTACTCTGTGATCTGACAGAGCAGAGATGGGCCGGTGCCAGTGGGCCAGTTCTCACACAGGGGTCTTAATCTGCACTGACATCGAAGGGAGCTGCAGTGAGCGATGGGGGGGGCGCCCAGCACATGCTGAGGTCTCCCTACGGTGTCTGATGCACGCAGATGGAGCAGCATGAAGCATGGGCGTGGCACCAGTGGCCTGAAGACGTGCTACAGCAAGCCCACCGAGAAACCCACGTGAAAATCATCTTCTCTTACTCTTAACAAAATAGATGGCACACACTTAACTGTGAGGTCCTCACGGTAAACGAGCCGTGTCACAGCCCACAGACCTGCTCGTTCCACAACCTCCTTCTTATGCAACAGAAAGAGAGCCAGCAAATTAGAGTCAAGACAGAAATGTGCCCCACCCTTTCCACGCAGAAGGACCACAGCTGTAGTGACTTCTATAAACCTTCAAGTCCTTGGTCAGCATGGATCTCCAAATTAAAGTCAAGTCAGGAACTGTTCACAGTAACTACACTCTCCTAAAACGCTAACTTCTTCTTCCCAGTATGTCTTTCTACAAGGGGAAAAAATGGTAGAAAGCTTTCCTTCTTGGCCTGTGCTGGGATTTATGAAAAGCCTACTAAGACGGCAACAGTGTTCCACAAAACTAAAATGCACTACAAAGTCAAACAAGCAAATAAACAATAAACAAAACTCATTTCAACAAAGTCATGTTTCCAAACGTAAAATCTATTAAGAACAAGTAATAAACATGTACAAGAAATTACAAGAAGTGAAGATCACAGTTAGTTACAAATGCAAAATAATATCTAATTATCCCAGACTTGTGTACATAATAAGTAAAATCAATTTAATATGCTAGTTCAAATATTATGTACAATTTAGATAAGCTGGTCAAGTATTATTTGAATACACACCACATCTGATAAACTTATAATTATATTACCTCTTCTCCTCTTTAATATTTGCAGGTACATGCCAATATGGGAAAAAAATGTAATTTCCATTTGTGTATCAACTGAGAAGAATAACATTGCTACTGCGTATGTTTCAGATTGTAAAAAAGTTAAGGTACACTTTCCTTTAAGAAGAAAAAAAAGGTAAAAATAAACTGCCAAAAGTTTAATATCAACTTACTTATAAAAATGAAAAAAAATGTTTTGAAACAGGTACCATACAATTATAATGTGGTCTTCCTACTGGTCCGAAACTACAGAAGGCATTTAAGGAAGGGATGCTATGTCGAAAACATGACTAACCCAAGGGATATATGTTACTTTAAAAATCTGATTTGCAGGAAAACTAGTTGGTTGGCCTAGTCTTAAAGCTAATTACAAAATCCATTTTCTTAATGGTCCAGACATTTCGCCAATTCTTCCAACTCAACAGAACTGTCAAAAAAGAAGAAACATCGTGTGAGAATTTTAAGTACAAACCATGGGGTATACCCTCCCCCGTTTACGACAGCATGCTAGAGAAAGGGGCAGTTTTGAGAAAGATGCATTATTTTCCTGACGTGAATAGCCACCTGTACTAAGTGTTTGGCTCTTCCAACTTAGATATACTAGGAATACACAGAGGAAGAAATAGTATAAAATATTTTTTATTAAGTATTTAAAACTTAACAAAAAGTACTCTTCAATTTTTAGGTTAAAAAAATTCATTCCAAATTTGAACTTCTAGAGTAAGCCACTCCAGGCACCAGCTTTTTACATTAACTTCAACTTTGTTAAATCCGACAGGCACTGCGTCAAACACCACGCAACAGCAAACTGCAAAACACCCAGTCAGTCATCACCACCACCACCGCCCACCACGCAAAACCATCCCGAGCACGCTGCCTGGCAAAGCCAGACGAGCTCAACAGGGTTGAAAAAAAAGGAGCACCCCGCTCTCAGACCAATTAAAACACCTGCCGACTCAGGAGAGGAAACAGTTTCCAACCACGAAGGTCCTCTCAACACCACAACGTTCCCACTCAGAACTAAACCTCTGTGTGTAACACAATGGGTCCTGGCTTCAGCCCCTAAAACAGCACCCAGAGCCAAAGTCTCACACTATGTGAGGATACCTTCCCCTCGTCTGGCTTTTATTCACTTCTGATTTTCAGAAAATGTTTAACCTATGTGAGTAATTCAAAATAAGCATTAGACTAAAACGTCTAATGTAACTATAATTTAAAAAACAATCTTGTATAAATTTCACAAAAACTTTAAAAAATACCAGCATTTCTGGAGTACCAACAGTTATCAGGCACTTTAAATATCTTATTTCTGCTCGTCACCAGCCTGAAGCGTAGGCCTTACTCACATTTACTACGTGAGAAAGGAGTTCAGAGCCTGTCTGGCTCCGAAGACTGTACATTCCTGCCCCGTGGGCCTCCCCAACCCCACGCCCCTCACCTCCCCCTCCATCCTGGGTGTGCTGTGTAATTCTTCCACCTCTGCGGCTGATAAAAGTCACTCAGGAATGAACCATTTCAGTGACAACTTGCCCACGTGGGGCTAACAGTGTGAATGAAGGCCCAGTGAAAAGCCCCCGAACCCCGACAGTGCTCGTCCGGGGCCCCTAAATCAGCATTAGACACACAGGCTGGATTCAACCAGGCACAGTAGCTGTTCCAGAATCAAAACCCACGAAGACAAGGCAGACGCACGCACAGGTTTTCTTCAAGAGCAGAAGTCTAAGCAGCTGAATGGCTCCAGCACGCCCAGGAAGGCGGCAGAGCGACTGCCCACCTGAGACTCCACCCGGCCCTTCCTGCACCAGGCCACCGTGACGGCGGGTAGGTCAGGGTGACACTTCACATCCAGTGGGGCCCCAGTGCTGGGCAGTGCGAGCACGTCACACACCCAGACCCAGGCAGCCCCGTGAGTGGGGGGCAGGGGCCTGGGGACGCCCTACCTTCCATCGATTTCCACACTCGTTGCAGACAACGAACGTCGTCATGGGCTCATCGGCACTCCGCGTCTGGACCTGCGGCAGAGTCAGGGGAAGATACTTCTCACAAAACTACACAAAGTCCACGCTAGACAAGAACGTTCTACATGAAGATCCAATAACCACCAAATGGTACCACAGTAAAATGTGTACGGGCCTGAGAAAAGTTCAAATAAGCTAAGTAACGTGCAACGAACACACATCTCCAAACTCCACTTGTCCAAGTCCTCCTTGTTTGTCTTTCCATGTTTAATGTACCCCAAGTAAGTGGAAAAATCATCTAAAGTCACAATTATACTTTTGGTAGATGGCTAACAAGTAAGAAAAATTTTCATCATAAGAAACACAGAAACGTTATTTAAAAGGCATGTCAATTTTCTCTTAAAAATTAGCAAAGCTGTAAAGCTTACAAATATTTCATTCCTACAAATATAAACTGCCACAACCTTTCTAAAAGTTAGGCAGCAACAAGGCAAGAGCCTTAAATACCCATTCTCTGTGACCCAGGGACTTGGTATTTGGTTTGTTGTAAGGTGGTAATTAGAAACACTAATAAAGGCCCACCTACAGCTCAACACCACTCATCATGCGCACAATGCAAATTAAAACCACAGAAAGTACCACCTCACACCCGCCAGAATGGCTGTGAGCAAAAGGACAAGAAACAGCAAGTGCTGCCAAGGACGGGGAGCAAAGCGAGACCCTGCGCACTGCTGCTCACACACAGCGTAAGGTGGTGTGGCCGCTGTGGAGCACAGTATGGAGGCTCCTCAAAAAATTAAAAATCAAACTACCATACGATGATCCAGCAACTCCACACCCTGGCATGTATCTGAAGGAAATGAAATCAGTATCTCAAAGAGATTATCTGCACACGTGTTCTTTGCAGTATTATTCACAATAGCCAAGATGTGGAAGCCACCTCAATGTCCTTCAGCAGATAAATGGATAAAGGAAAAAACGGCATATATACACAAAAGAACATTATCCAGCCATAAAAAGAAGGAAATCCTGCCATTTGAGACAGCATGGATGCACATGGAAGGCACCGTGCTAAGTGAAATATGCCAGACAGAGAAAGACAAACACTCTGTGACATCACTCACATGTGGCATCTAAAAAAAAAAAAGCTGATTTCATAGAAACAATAAATAAATGGTGGCTGCCAGGGGCTGGGGTGGGGGAGGAAATGGGAAGCTGCAGGTCAAAGGGCATAAAGTTGCAGTTACAAGAAGCAGCTCTGAGGAACTAATGCACAGCATGGTGACTGCTGTTAGAGGAGAGCTAAGCATTCTCACCACCAAAAAAAAAAAAAAAGAAGAAAAAAAATTAACTATGTCAGGTGATGGATGTGTTAATTATCTTGATCTTGGTAATCATTCCATGATACATAGGTGTGTCAAATCATCACACTTTAAATATATACAATTATATTTGTCAATTATTCTTCAGTTAAAGCTGGAGGTAAAGATTTGTATACAAGGATATTTGAAGAGTATAATTTTATAACAACACAAACACTGGAAACAACAACATCCAACAGGGAAATAATGAAATGCATTAGGGTCTATCCATCTGATGGAATAGTATACAGCTATTAAGATGCTTATGAAGGTTTTTTAAAAACTTAAAGGAAAATGCTCACACTATAGTAGTTAACTGGGGTAAAAGTATATAAAACGACTTACAATATTTAGCTGCAACTACATTTTTTTAAGAACCCACAAAATACTATAGGCACTAAAATATGGATGACTGTCCTCTGTGGATGGCAGGTTAATAAGTGATTTTTAACTTCTTGTTCATACTTTTCTGTATTTTCCAAATTGTTTGTAAGTAGGTATACTTACACAATAATTTAAGTAAACTTAATACTATTTTTAAGTGTTTAATTTTCTGTCAATCAAAAAATTCGACCTCAATTAAAAAAAAAGAAAAGAAAATTCCCTAAACCTGTTAACCTAAAACGTAACAGTTAGTTGTTCTTTAGAGGGAAAATTTTGAATTTAACAGATTATAGATATAGCACAATTTATTTGGCAAATGAAATTAATGACAATAATTAAAAAAACCATCTTCACACACGCACATACAAACAAAACAACTATTAACGTGGCTCCTTTCAACTGTTTAAGAATAAAAAGGTTAGTCACAACATGTATGAAGATAAAAGTAATCAATATGTTGCAAAAAAGAAATAAATTATCTGGAAACTAGGTAAGCTAAAAGTACCAGGACCCAAGCAAGGAAGGAAGAGCAAAGAACTTTCCCTAAATTACATGATCCTGACAAATAAAAAGAATTATAGGCTGTTTACAAATTAACCAATAATCAACTGCTAATTAGCTCTTAGAGAAAGAACGTGGCCATTTCCTTAAATTCTGTAATATCTTACAAATTTCATTTAATTTATACAGCTTTCACAGTAACAATTTCTAAGAAAGGCTAACTACATTAACATATTTTTAATTAACAGGAACCTGTCGGCAGCATCCCTCGCGAGAGAACGAGGGCCCGTGCGCAGCCACGCACCTGCGTGTAGGTGCAGTTCTTCTTCTTGCACTTGCCGCACGTGAACAGGTCCGTCTGCGTCCCCCCCGTCTTGGCCATCTGGTGCTCTCTGATGGCCTCTTTGGTCAGGTTTTTCCGCATCTCCTTGAGTTCGTCACTAGCCATTTCCTACCGGGGAGACGGCAACACCATTGGTCACAGGCATCTTCTGCACACATGCTGAATGCTTTTTATGCTCCATTAGTTTAGTAATAGGACCAAAATCAACTCTTAAAGTTTCAAAAGTGAAAAATAAATATTTTTCCTCACAGGACTCATAAGAGTTTGCTTCCTCTTAAAAGGTTTTCAAATACTTACAGGTTTGTGTGTGAAAACTGGCTTTAATTACCATGTATAAAGGCTTGTAGACAATGTAACCCTGTAGCAATGGGCACCTCTAGTATCCAGACTGGTGTCTACCATTGTCCCCACACCCCCAAGACTGGAACCAGGGACCTTGGAGGAACGTGTGATTTCAGCCTGAGTCAAGACATGCACAGGATGAGTCAAGGTCATCTTCCTGTGCCAGAAAGCACGGAAGCCACCTGACTACCGTGGTTAAGTCACATGGAGAGAGGAGCTACAGGAAGGAGCCCCCACTGGCCACAGGTAGGACGGCTTCTTCAGCCATCATATGAATGGCTGGAAAGGCCAATCTCCATGGGATAAATACAGTCGCAGGGCCATGATGACACTCAGAAAAGAACAGCACAAACACAAGCAAAAATGACAAACCACTCCCACCCCCACCCCCCTGCCCCGGCAGTTACTAGGGCTCCACCCCTGCTTCTGTAACTGTGAAGCGGAGGGAAAGAATGACACACCTCCCCTGCCCTTCCCATCCTAACCAACAGGGCAACCCGGAGCCCTCACTCAGGGCAAGTCCTTCTTTATCAAGGAAATCCAGCTAACACACGTGCAAGGAATGACAGGATTTTACAAGTCTCTTATTTGCAACTCCCAGTGAAAGAACCAGTTCAGGCAAGGATGACAGTGGACGAACACACAGATGAAAGGCTGACAGAGAACGTGACCTGACTGCCAGCACTCAACCCCCTGATCAATTTCCACACGCTCAGGGCAGTGGCTCCTGATGTGATGCAACGTGGAGTAAGAAACACCACTTATGAAGTATTTACGCAGAAAAAAGGTGAACCTGTAGGTAAGCAAGCCCACGGAACTAGCCTGGAGTTCACAGAAAACGGAGGGGACAGAAAAGTTAAATAATATCACAAGGGAGAAACGGGCAGTTCATACTGTGGGACACAGAGAGAGAAACTGGTTTCAACAGGTCAGTGTCACTGTCCCGAAGGAAGGGGGCAGGAGTAGAAGAGACTGCTTTAGGTTTATTTAGATTTAATTATGTACAACATCTTAAGAGGCCAAACTCAAGGTAACATCTCGACTCTGGATCCTTATACAAAACAAATGTACAATCAGGAACATAATGTGAATGTGAACCAGGCAGTAAATACGCCAAGGAGTTATCATTAGACTTGCTGGGTGCAGTAATGACAATGTAGTTACAGAAAAATGCCACATTTTTAAGCCATCTCTCAAGTACAGAGAGGTAAAATGGTGTAATAAAATAAAATAACTGAAAATAATTCAGGGGAAAAGAAAGAAAAAGGAAGAAGGGATAGAAGAAAAGGGTGACAAAATTATTTAAAATACCTGAAGCTTGGGTGAAGGATACATAGGACTTCATAATACCATGTTCTCTACTTTGTGAAAGCTTTAAATTACTCTAATGAGGTTTTAAAAAATTAATTAAAATATAACAATTTTATTAGCTATATAGAAGGACAAATTTACTCTCTTGGATGCTTAGTAAAATAGTGAGATTACAGACACACAACAGTTACTGTCTATAAATAGGAAACAATGAATTTCATTTTCACCATCATTCCTTATATAAATTTAAGGAATAGTCAATAAGATGAGACCAATTTTACAGTATTTAACCATGAATAAAGCTTAGAGGTTACAAAGTCTATTTGCGATTAGAGATTCAGCTCTTTGATTCTACATGAGTCCACAATAAGTATAAACACTTGTTTTTAAACAATAACTTAAGGCAATCTCCCAAAGATCATGGTAAAATTATGAAAGGGACAGGTATCAATGCCAAGAGATTCTATCACTGCTGGTGTCTGTCCGGTGTACTGTATGTATGAGTAAATCAGAACAGCTAATCTTGGCTCATTATACACTTGGTACTTACAGAGTACTTTATGATTTAAACGGACTTTACATCTGATGTTGTGGAACCTGTCACAGAAACATTATATTCAGATATACTCACCTCTGCCGTCATTCTAGCAAATAGGTCCGGAGGAATATTCCCACATAGCACGTTCTTCCTTAAATTTGGATTCTTAGCATCCTTAAGATTCGATATTCTACTTCGTACTCTATTTTTGTATTTCATGTCCGTATTCCGTATTTCTTGATATATAGGTATGAGGCCGTTAAGGAACAGAGGTTAAATGGTAACGGCAAGACCATTCGTCCTCCTCTTCTGCCACAGTAAGAATTCCCGAAATTTCTAAGCAGTGCTTCCAACCTAGATTAAGTTAACAACAGGCTCTGTTTCTGCCTGATTTCCTCACCTGTAACTGGCAAATAACAGTGATCATACATCCACGCTATGGAACAGCAGTGCTTTCTCAGTGTTTAATGCCAAGCAGCACACAAATCAAAAGGGTTTCAAAATGTACCTCAGGTACTCAATCTGAGCGAGAACACTTTTGAAAAAGAACTTGAACTTATACATACTTTCCCTTGCCCAAGTCTGAATCCTACCAAGGATCCTAAAAAGCCTCAAAAAGACCTCACAGCTCCCTGGAGGGCCTTCTAAGAGAAGGCCATTCACCATTCACAGTGGCCCTGAGGGTTCATTCCTCCCCGGCTCAGCAGGAAGCTAGGTTAGCAGGTGGCTTTTCTCAGCAGAACAGGCTGAAGCAGGGACCAAGCCCCAGGACCGCCTTTCTAACAAGGCCATTTCCTTCACCAGGACAATCCCCTGGAAGGTTCCTGCTCCGTGCATCCACGTGCGAGCCCCTCCCCCAGGGCCCACAACGCGGTGTTCAGCATGAGCACACCTACCTCCAGCGTCATGAGCTCAGGGGACTGTACATGATTTGCTGCATCTGCCCAAATGTGAAACCCGACTTCATACTTACTAGTTCACAGTTACTAGTGTGAAGTGAGTGTTTCCATGTCCTTCTGCACAACTTCAATTGAGATGCTACATTCTCAATTTGTAAGGCAGAAAAAAAAAAACTACAATTATGTGATTTACTTCTGAATGACAGGAAAACAAGAAAAGGACATGGATAAACCTCCTCTTTCCCATCAAAACAATCAAGATAGAAACTGAAGAATAAAATGAACTCTGAATTCTTTACAGAAAGGAAAAATTATACTTAGCCTAGATTACTTAAAACAATTACGCATATACACACAAAGGATATCTTCCTCAATCTGAGATCCTAATTCTTCCTCATCAGCTCCAATAGCGATGTAATCATCTAAACATAGGCACAAAGAATTGTCAAGCATAAGCAATTACAACAAATCAAAAGAAAATTTCAATACAGAGTCAATTAAACTGGGTTCCCATTGCTTCAACCCCATGTGCCCTGTACAAAGACTCCTTTCAGTTTCATTTCATCAGAATCTGGTCTCTTTACTCCCCACTTGGCTTCTGCTTGAGCGAGTCCTCAGCCCTCATGAGTGGGGAAGTAATTCATCTCGCAGACAGTTCCTCATTTCACAACTCCGTAAGCTCTGGCTGCTCCAGCAGAGAGCAGAGAAAGTTACACAAAGAACTATCTTGGCTCCTGAGACTCAGACTTCAGTGCAAAGAAACCATTCATTTTATCTGCCAATCACGTACACGGACACATTGAGAAGGCTCCTAGGCAAATACTCAAAAGGACAGAAGGAAATGAAAAGAAACTAGGAAGAAAAAGAAAAAAATACATGAAGAGAAAGGAGAGGAACCAGAGTAGAAAGGGGAGAGTAAGCAGAAGAACAGGCCACACGGACTGTGGTTCCGTGTGACAGAGAAGAAAAAGGGTGACTCTGCACAGGACAATAAATACATAGTCCTATATATGGAACCTGGAAGTCAAACTTTTACATAAGAATGAAGACCCCCGGGTAGGAGGGCACAGCTCAGTGGCAGCGCACGTGCTCAGCATGCAGGTGGTTCTGGGTTCCATCCCCAGTCCCTCCTCTAAGAATAAATAAATAAATTAACCTAATGACCTCCCACAACCAAAAAAAAAGAACGAAGACCTCCGAATTAAATTAAAGCTCCCACATACAAAGCTCTTATCTACTTAAAAAATAAGAAAAGTAGGAAATGAAATGACAAATCTATATATCATACTAACATTTAACAAGGGGACCCAAACACAGTGTCGTTAACTCTCAACCTGAGGGGTGGGGTGATTGGTTTGCACATTAAATGTGAGGAGAAAAAAGGCTGTGAAAGACACAAATGACTAAACTTCAGGAGAAGCACCTGCACATGAGAAGTGCGGAACTGTATGGGAATAAGCAGAGGCCAGATGGCCCGCAGTCTGCCCTCAGTGACCTGCAGCAGCCTCTCCCCGCGGGGCAGTGGTGGCAGCTCTCACTGGGGTCCCACTGGTAGCACAGAAGTAAGGGGGCGGGCAAGGCCAAAGGACAGAGAGCGGAGCCACGGACACCGAGCTTACCTCCCGTCCGGAGAGCTGCAGCAAGCATCTCCCTGCACTTTAACCGCACGGAGTCAGAGGTGCCCGGGGCCCGAGGGAAGGAGGACACGTACGTGTCTCGAGCGTGCGGCTCGTCCTTCCTGCTGCTTCCATTGCCGCTGGAGCTGCTGAAACACACACATGTGCACACACACCCCGGAACAAGTCAGGAAGACTCTCTTACAGTAAACATCATCACTACCACTCTCTAAAAACTAAAACTTTTCCCCTGATTAAATGAGAGAGTATTTCAGTGACTCTTACGTGAAAAAAAAATTTCCCACGTGGAGATTAAAAGGAAGCAAAAATTTCAGTAAAGATATGAGATACAAGTCTCAAGTCCCTTATTCTTTAACCTTGATTATTGTTTTAAACATTAAAAAATATTTTTAATACAGAAAATACACATTACAGCTTAACACAATAAATGAAAAGCAAGGATCTTGGTTACGAGAGAGGTGAGGGGATGGCACCAGAGAGTATGACAGCTCTGATCCAAAAATAGAGGGGGAAAAAGTTTGAAAAACCCTGTTTCAATTAGACAACCAATGAGGTTTATATGTAAAACACCCACTTCTGGATAAAAACCACATGTAGTGAGAAGTAAGTTGTGAAAATACAAAAATGTCTGGTAATTTCTCCCCAGAAACATCAATGCAATCAAGATAGTTCTGTAATTTTTCCAGTCAACCTAATCATTTCAACCGCTTCTGATTAACTTCTTGTACTGGATTCTTACCAAAATACTTTTCTGGCTGGTTTCAATTAACTTCCATCACATTAGAGATTTCTGCCACAAACCTCTCTAGACTAATCAAACCTTTCACCCTCCATGGATGTCACTTGCTGCCTGGCTGCAAGCAGGTCCCTCCCTGCCCTCTCCCCTTTCCTACCCCGCGACCTCTGCAGCCGGACCGCCCTCCGCAGATGACCGAGGGCACAACAGTCGCTTCCTTCCCGAAGCCTCCTCCAACCTGCCTCCCCAAGTACTGTCTGCACACAGGTGTGTACTACAGTGACTTCCCTTGTGTCCTCCCCCGCCAGCCCAAGCTCTGGGGGCAAAGATGAGAACTTATTTCCTCTTCCTTGTACTCCCAGGACGCAGCACACCACCTGCCAGTGATCAATCACTGTTTCAAACCCCACTTCTCAAATCCTTCAGTTACGTGCTCACGTCAACCCGCAGGTGGCCAAACGCCTCGCGCGGCCTGGGGGCTGTCCAGGTGGACGACGGGGCCTTTTCCTCACTAGCACCGCTGCCACTGGCCCCACCCCTGACGTCCTAAGCATTTTCCCACATCACTTCCTCCTTAAATTCTTACACCAAAGTGTGAAACCCTGCACGTCACCTAGGTCTTCCTGTAGATGATACCTCTGACTTGTTTCTCCAATCTGTTAAAAATTTTCTTCACTGTACAAGTGTGTGTGTGTGTGTATGTGCGTGCGTGTAGGTGCATGTGTGTGTGCATGCGTACATACCAACCACTTACTTTATCAGGCTTCACTTAAGGAATGCTATGCTTTTGCAGATAAGCTCTAACCTTAAACTTCAGTTACTTAAATCTGATAAAAATAATACCAAGAACTCCTCTTTCAATATTTATTTAAAATATTTGTCTATACCTTCATATTTTATATTAAAGGCATTAAATCAGTGACTTTAAATGTAACATAACTGAAAGTGTGTGTTAAAAATTATGGCCTGCACTTTCCAAAAATATCAAGGTCGTCAAAGACACTGACAGACTGAAGAATCATTCCAGGTTAAAGGAAACCAGATATGGTAACTAAATGCAATGTGACCCGAGATGACATTTTGGAAAATTTTTTTCTTTTGCAACAAAAGACATTATTGGGACAAATGCTGAAATATGAATGAGGTCTGCAGACTAGGAGGAAGCATCGTATCAATGTTAATTTCCAGATATCGCTCTCTCTATCACGGTCCTATGTGAGGGCATGTCCTTGTTCTTAGAAAACACACGCTGACGCAGTCAGTATTCAGGGGTATAAAGGGCATAATGCCCGTAAATTACTCTCATTTGGTTCAGAATAAAACTCGTGTGTGTGCATTTATACACACATCTGCACACATGTACAGAAGTATCACAGGGGCCATCTGGGAGTCTTCTGTACTATTCTTATAATTTCCTAAAAGCCCAAAACCATCTCAAAATATTTAGGAAAAAAACTGAAGAAATTTTATTAACAACTGGCGTTTAACCCTATCTTCAGCTTACCTTTTTATCATCACGTTTAGTGAGTACTAATATATAAAAGAACTGTGTATGGGATATTAATCATTGTTAAAAAATGAGGAGTATGTTATCAATTTGGGGTAAACAGAAACAGATGAAGTTAAAATAAGCAGCCTAAAACTTGAGTGCCTAAGAGTTCCCTGAAGGGACTGTTAGAAGCGTATCTCTGGGCCCCACCACCAGAAACCCTGGTTCCGGAGCTCCAGGGCAGAGCCCAGGAGTTTGCTTTTCAACAAAGCTCCCAGGGTCCCTTCTGGGACCACACTTTGAGAACGAGTGCTCTACAGCAAAGTCAAGCCTCCCAAGAACACGGATCTGTATTTCATCTTCCAGGCTCCCCACCTATCCCACCAGTGCCCTGGATACCGCACGTTCACTACGTGTAACAGGGAGGCGTGAACACAAAGGCCTCCCAAGCGCTGAGGAACAACTGAACCCTTCATCACCGAACGTGTTTCAAGTTCTTATGATAAACAGCTAAACTGGGAAAGAAAAAGAAGCATCAAAAGGAGAATTAGATCCAGGTCCAAAACTATCTAAAGAAATGTGGTAAATAAAGGAAGCAGCCACGTGAACCCCCAGGCAGCGCCTTCACCACGCTGTCCTGGTGCTGCTCAGAGTCCACGCAACCACACGTCAGGCGTGACGTAAGCAGTTTCTCATCTATGTGCTATCTTCTAATTCTCTTAAATCTCCAGGAAATCTTGTCAGAAACCTTACTTCTATCTGGCTTTTATCTATCTATTTATGCTAGTGTGATTAGAAAATAGAGGGGAACAGACATGAGACTGTAAGATCATGGGGAAGCGATGGTCACATAAAACCGTGACTTTCAACATAAACGAATTTCCATAAAGCAAAAAATACCTTTCTTCTCTTGCTTCAGGGCTATTCTGCGATGTAATTGCAGTATCTTTTTTCTTTTCTTCAGGATCTTTATCTGTTGATGGTCCATCTGAAAAATTTAAGAAATTCCTAAGTTGTTGACATTTGTTAAAAAAAGACCAAACTACTACATTATCATACTACCGTGTTATGCAATAAAAAAACACTAAAACCCTAAGCTTTTAACAAGTAAATGGAGTTTATGCAAGCTGCCCTACTAGCATATGTACGCGGGTGTCACAGCAGTGCTCGGTCAGCATCCCCAGATAAGCTCTCGGTTGGTCCTACGCTAACGGTAGCATAAAAGGGAGGACTGACTACACAGAACAAGGGAAGCAAAGAACAGGGAAAAAGCACCAGCACTGTCATTTAAAAATGAAAGCGCAAAGCATATATTGCGATACTGTTTTAATAATTTTTCATGAAGTCAAAAAATTCGAGGTGGTACCCGAAACATAAGGAAATATTTCAGGGACAGTGAACAAAGAACATTTCACAGCATGTACTGCAGGGCTATTGGTTAGGCCTGCCCAGCACCTCCTCTGTCTTAGATGCCCTGTGAACTAACACAGACCACTAGCACGAGTAAAGCACACGCGTGAGGACCTAAGGAGGACCTCAGCAATCAGACACTGGCGAGTAAAGCACAGAAAGCAGGTTGGGCCAAGGCAACAGTTCAGCACTGAAAAGAAACAGTCGTGTTTAAATCAACCAAAACAGCCTTGAAAGCTGGGTTCAGAAAATGTCTGGATCTACTGTGTAAACTACCCCATTTGACCTACATTTTGACCCTACACACGTGATAAGAGCTACATAAACAACTCAACTCTCCACGTCCCTCTGTATATGACATGGAAGAACACACATTCAGCTGTGTGGCAGGACCACCAGGCAACTCTTAAGCACATCCCATGGTCACACTCCCATCCAGACCGCTCAATCCAAATCTCTGGAGGGCAGGCGTGAGCGTCAAAATTTTTACAGGTTCCCCAGATGACTCTAACATGCCAGTCCGGATAAGACTAATTGACAGAACAGTCCAGATCACAACTCTAGAACTTATCCTGTAAAGGTTAGGGTGACCAAACCTGAAACACAATTCCAGCCCCTACGATACACGTCAGTTCTCACATACTAACACTACCGCCCTCTCTGTCCTGCAAGTCACCGGGAAGCCTCAAGGCCTAAAGACACTGTAGTACTGTGAGGAAGAAAATAAAGATCAATAATGACATTAAAGAATATAGCAAGGATGAGATACGTTCCCAAGGTAACAGGGCAGAAAGCTTCTGAGAGGTGATGTAATAACGCAATACTATCTAACAGGGACCCAGTGCTGTGGGAGGGGCAGTAAAGCTGGCCCCTGACACACTGCTCCAGTGCGGGGTGTGCTGGTGCAGTCCTGAGAAAGCAGAGCAGTAAGAGGTGTGAACGGCCTTAAAAACAACCCCACTATGGGAACAGAGTGGGCAATGCAGCAGAGCCCCGGGGACATGCCCTGGACTCTGGACTCTGCAGATGACCCCCCGCCCAGCGTGGCTACTCACCACGGACCCAAGCGCACACAAGACACCTAATCTCTCAGTGCCTCCGTTCCCTCATCACGAGACGGGGATTACAAGAGCACCGAGCACACACGGCTCTGGGAGGACTAAATGCGCTAACACAGGCTGAGGCTCGGCACGTCTTAAGTACTCAGAACGGCGCGAGCCAGCAGCAGCGGAAGCAGACCTTCCAGAAACCCACCTAACAACCCAAGGAGAACGCTTTAGGCAGAGCTTAAATGCATCAAGATACTATTTACAATAGCTTAAAGTTAAAAAGGACAACAAATCTAACAGGTATGTGATTTAAGTATGGCATAATCACACAACAGAGAATTTTGAAGCCAGTAAAAATGTGTTATAATGATGGAAAAACATAAAAACAATTTCGTTAAGAAGACAATAGAAATACGTATACATAGTGTAAGTAAAAATTACAGCTGAAGCAAAAATCATGCATTGGGGGAAAAGAAGAGTACAAATTCTCCTTCAAAAAAAGGTTTTCATTTATCCTAAAAGGTTACATGTTCATTAAATTTAGAGAGTTGGATGAGGGAAAAAGCCTCCTTATTTACCCGTCTCTAACTACAACTGTCAGTTAATCTCTTGCTGCATATCTCTCCACTCCCCCCCCAAAAAAGTGGGAGAGTTAGAAAATCAGTTGTGCAGCTGTCACTGTCAGGGTGGTCTGGGCAAGAACCGGTGGACACTAAAAGGGGGCAGGGTGGGTTTGAGGGGCAGCAAGATAGTTTCCGGGTCTTAAAGTGTCTCCCACAGAATTCCTATTAGACACGAGGGAAAGTCCTAAACGGTGCAGGGTACCCCTCGGTCGGGTCTCACCATTACCACCACCACTGCCTCTGGACACGACACCCTGAGGAGGGCACGGACACACACATGCAGTGGACACACAACTAGATCTAATCGTGAGAAAACGCTACAGAAACCACAAATAAGAAGCACATTGTTGACAACAAAAGGGAAAGGGTATTCTTCAAAAGTCAATGTCCTAAAAGACAAAAAGGCGTAAGAACTATTCCACATTAGAAGACTAGATACTTCCTAGGTGGGACACTGTTCTGGAGGAGAAAAGCTATAAAGGACGTTAGTGGGACAACTGACAAAACCGGACATGCACTGCGATTCAAGTCCTGGACCAGCGTTACATTTCCTGAATTTTCTGTATTACGATCACTCAAGAAAATAAACTTGTTCCAAGAAAACACACACTTCAGTATTAAAGAGTAAATAAAGCATGACAGATGCAGCCTATTCTCCAACGGTTCAGCAAAAACAAAAGTAAGTGTGAGTTTATGCATCAGAGACAAAGACAGAGGGGAGAGAATATGACAAAGACAGCAAAGATGAAAACTTAAGGAACTAGAAAAAGGACATGTGAGCTACTTTTATTATTCTTGAAATTTTCTGTAAGTAAGAAAACTATTTTGAAAAAGCTTGACACCGTCTTCTTGGGAGGAAATATTCCTCTTAAAGAGGAAATCCAATTACAAGTGTTCAAAAATTAGACAGCTAAATCTGACTAGCTTAAAAAGCAGACCCCTCCAGGAAGGAGGTCCGACGAAAGCCCCCTCCCATATTACAAAGCACTGATTTCAAAACATCTGAATTCATTAAAAGAAAAAAATGCAACAATCAAATGTCTGAATAAACCAGAACATCATAAGTATGTAAAGGAAGGACAAATATACCTAATAACTTTTTCCAGGATTTGATGAGGGACTTTGCTAAAGATGTAACTTCTTCATCTGTGCTCTGCTTGCGAATAGCATTTACTGACATTCCGATTCTTGTGGACTGCAAGGCAACAACAACAAAAATTTGTACAAGGAAATTTATTTCAGGCAATTCAGTGTTTCACTTCTTTTTTCCCAGATGCCTGTTTCCATTTTAGAACAGAAAAAAACTTCAAGTACATGAAATCTTTTAACAGTACACTACAGACTTAAGACACACACATCTTCAGATCAGCATCGGACTCTTCAAGGTTCTCATCACAGAGCTCTGCAAGCATGCAGCCTGAGCCCACAGGAAGGCCGGGGAAGCTAGTCCTGCTGACGAGAGAACAGAACGTACAACGTCTGTGTCTGCAGACAAGGCAGGCTGACACCGTCACGGCTAACACAGGCACTTTGTTTCTCCACAGTCTCCGACCTGCATTATTTCACATAACCACTCGCTGCAACTTATAAGGAAGACATCCAAACAAATACCAGCACCCACAGAGGTTTAAACACCAGCATATAACCAAGATACTAAAAACAGTTCACAGAATATAGAAAATTTAACTTGTGGTGATGCTGTGTGCCTAGGGCTATGCTGGGCACACCCGTATTTATTAATTTTCCTAACAACCCTTTAAAGTTGAGACCATTGTCCCTGTTTTTAAAGATGAAGAGATTGGAAGTACCAATAAATGACTTGCCCAGCATTACACCATTACTAAGTGACAAACCTGGAATTTTAATCCAGCTCTGTCACTTCTGAAGTCCATGCTCTTTCCAACACATCAGTGGTTTTCCAAATGTACTCAAAGAACAAAAGCTATGACAGGCCAATTATAGATGATAAATAAAAAGTGGTAAGTTACGCAGTAAGTTCGGCCTGTCAGCAGACAATCTTTCAAAACACAGTTAATAGATTCAATGCAATCCCCATCAGAATCACAGCTGCCTTCTGTGAAGACACTGATACGCTTGTCCTGAAGTTTATATGGAAGCGGAAGGGACCCAAAAGAGCCACAACAATCTCGGAAAAGGGGAACAAACTTAGAGGACTCACAATTCCCAATTTCAAAACTGAACACATAGCAACAGTAATCAATACAATGTGGTCCTGCGTAAGGAGAGACATGCAGATTAAAGAACAGACTTTAGAATCCAGAAATAGACCTCTCCATTTTTCATCACTGATTTTCAACAAGGATGTCAAGACAATTCACTGGGGAAAATATAAAAAGGTGGAACAACTAGCTCTCCATTCAAATGAGAATGGAGTTGGACTTCTTTACACCACACATGAAGACTAGCTTAAATCACAGACCTAAATGAAAGGGCTAAAACTGTAAGACTCTTAGAAGAAAACATAGGAATACGTCTTTGTAACCTTGAATTAGGCAATGGTTTCTTAGATATGACACCTAAAAGCACAGCAACCAAAGAAAATAGATAAATTAGACTACAACGAAATTTTAACTTTTGTGTTTCAAAGACCACCACCAGGAAAGTAAAGCTAATCTACAGAACGGGAGATAACTGTATTCTAGAACATATAAAGAACTACTGCACCTCAATAACAAAAAGACATACTACCGAACTTAAAAGTAGGCAAAGCATCTGTATAGACACTTCTTCAAAGACACACAAATGGTCAACAGGCACATGCAATGACGTTTCCTCATTCAGTCATCAGAGAAATGGAAACCAGCACCACAATGAAACATCACTTCACACCCACCAGGATGGCTATCATCAAAGACAGATAATGACAAGTGTGGACAAGAATGTGGATAAACTGGAACCCTCATTTACTTGCTGTTGGGAATGGAAAATGGCACAGCCACTTAGGAAAATAGTCTGGCAGGTCCTCAAAATGTTCAACATAAAATTGCCATACCACTCAGCAACTGCACTCTCTTAGGTATCTGCCTAAGAGAAACAAAACATTTTTACACATAAACTGTCATGTCTTTATAACCCCAACACAATTTCTAATCCTAACAAAAAACTCAAATCTCTGTTATATAAATACACCGACTTTCCACGGAATGAAGCATACAAAAAAATTAAAGGTGTTTTATAAAGGATAATCCTACCCAAAGTCCACACCCTCTATAAAGCTTCGCATCTTTTGAATCCTGGGATTGCTATGTTGCTGTCAATGTGGTTATCCCTACATAGATCTGCCAGGATAAGGTCACACCCAGGTGGTAAGGTGGTGACTCAAAGGCAAGGTTACTCTCAGAACTGATATGCCAGAAGCTGCTGACCCTTGGATGGGACATCTGCCCTGGGAAGACAGGACTTAAATATGCGCTTCCTCTCTCTCTCTCTGGTCTATAGTTAAAGGAGGCGTTCTTCACCTCTTCACACCACGGATCCCTTTGGTAATCGGAAGCTTATGGGCTCCTTCTCAGAATGCTTTTAAAATAAGTTAAATAAGATACATAGGATTACAGAGAAAACCAATTACATAATATAAAGTTACAAAATATTTTCTTAAATGTAACATGGTAATATATGCGCTCCTTTATTGAAACATTGAGTAAGCTCTAGCCTAAGTTTAATAGCCAACATAATAATGAGCAAAACCAGATGTCAGTACACCCATAAGAACTACAATATGAAGTTAGAACGTCTGTGATTTCTCTCAGCTAGTCATAAATAATGCTAATATAATTGTGGTCCACTGCCTTCATAACTGAAAGAGACGCTCAATTTCAGTTAGATGTTAGTGAAAATAAGTGATCTTTTTTCTCAACCACGTACATACCCCTATCACACTTTGCTAAATTCTGACTTAATGGAATAGAAATATCAAAGGCGGCACTCATACAATAAGAAATGTGCACAAGAAAATAGCCAGACTCATGTTGCTAACTATTTCCTTTCCTTTTTAACATTCTGACTTTTGTTAAAGTTTTAGGTTTAGTCTTGATGGAACATTAAGACTTCAGTAACGAGTCTCCGTAATGACTGCTTGACATCTGACTGTGCACACGCCGGCTGGTGCAAAGAGAGGAGAGTGAGCTGCCACCCTCACCCTGAGGCCACCCCCACCCTGCAGCAGCAAGGGACAGCAGTTAGGAAAGTGAAATCCTGGGAGATCAAATCAGGGCCGAGAGTCCAACTTCCTCTCACAGTGAGATTTCATTTCCACTGCCAACCTGGGACATTCGGGTTTTATTCTTCTCAAGGAAGGCAACGTTTTTCTACAATGGTAACTCAGTTTATTTATTTACGTTACCACCTTAAAAAAACAGAAGTTAATAATGGTTTACACTGTAACAGGAAAATACAAAAATAATTATATTGGTACGGAAGGTGTTTCAGTATTTCACAGCTGCCTATTCAAAAATCACGACACACAGCAGCACATACCTGTAGTAACTCCAGGGTCATGGGAATGTTCTTAAGCTCCTTCAACAAATCCAACGCTCCAGCCTATAAAGCAAAGTAATTTCACAGTGAATTTCCCAGACAGTAAAGCAAGGAGTAACTAGAGATTTAAATTTATGTTTTCCCATCCACAATTCACTATGGCTCACTTATTCACGTGAAGAGAACAGTAGACAGAGATGCAGATATGACAGAGAGAGTTTTCCAAATAGGGCTTGCGGCTCATCAGAGGATCATAAAATCCGTTTACTATGTTATGACTCAGTTGTTTTGTGATGTTTATTTTCCGTATTTATTTACATGTGTCCTGATGAGAAATCTAAAGTACATCTCTTACTGTGGTGGTATAACCCACCCCAAATTTCCATGGCAAGCCCCTGTGTGAGGACGGGGGAGTGGGAATGGGGGTCCCGAGGTGTACCCGCTCACACACAGGGAGAGTGGGGGGGGGCACCGCCTCACTGGGGTCTCTTGCCATCTCTGTGGCTCACTGCTCTGTCACAAGAACACTGCTGTCTACCTGGTTCTCGCAAAGGAGTAAAGAGCAAATTCTGATAGAAAATCCAGAATTAAAATCTACGTTAAGCTCACAGGCCTGTCCCCTGCCAGTTCCCATCTAGAATCAAAAGGCTCCCATGTAGCTGAAGATGGAACAAAATAAGACTCATTGAAGATTTATGGAAAGTGGCTAAAGTTAAAAGAGCAATGGAATCGCACGAGAAGCAACAGCTCCCCCTACAGGCTGTGGCCAACACTGCTATTTAGATATTCATTCAATCTACCCGACGTCATCTCACCTAATACATCACTTAATCTGTCAAATATTTTATTTAGTCTAACAGTCACGTAATGTACTTAGTGTACTATATTTGGACACACTATTCTATATACCACTAATTAAAAAACGATTAAACTAGAATAAGAAACTGTCTTATTTCCTCTTACTTTCACAATTCCTTCAGACTTAGAATTTTTATCATACATCAACTTTTCCATACAGAAAAAGAAAAATATAAGCAAAACTGGCTAAGGTGTTTCTAAAATTACTTCGCATTCAGCATCTAACGCTTATGAATCACTTACTGACTCAGATTCAATAATATCTGTTTTTAGTCCACAAAAAGTTATATCAAGACACCAATAATGCGGCATTTCACAGAAGAATCCACAAAAGAGCTAAGAGACCTTAGCTCTCGGCGGGCACCGCAGTGTGCAGAGCTCACCCCCTTCACCCACACTGCTCTTCAACCATTCGGTTCTCTGAGATTCAGAGCGCGCTCCACTCACGGCTCAGAGCCCCTGACACCCATTCTGCAATGCTGACGCTGTTTGATGTCCTGCCGGTGAAAATACATCCCAGTGGCCATCTGGCCAACAATACGTATCTCATTCTGCTCTCTGAAATGTGAAAATGTGAAAACGAGGCACCATGCGGATCAGTGAAATACAGCACACGTCAGGAAAACAGAACGCCCCAGCGCATGCCCCTCATACGCACTCCAAAGCAGAACAAGCCTGGCATCTCATGGTATCATTATATTTCTCAAATTTAAAATAAAGCAAGGATTTCCAGCCGTATAATTTTTCCATCCAAAGCTGACAGACAGACATAGCTGTGGAGAATAAAACAGTATTAACTTAACTTCTGGCAATAAGCAGGTATGTCATTTTAATTTAACCCAGTCCTTCAAGTTCAACAGAAATTATGAAATGGGGGTAAGATATAGCTCAGTGGCAGACAGCATGTCCAGCATGCACAGGGTCCTGGGTTCAATCCCCAGTGCCTCCATTAAACAAACCAACCAACCTAATTACTTCCCCCACATCAGAAAGAAAAAAGAAATTATGAAACAGGTTATTATGAAGGATTTTAGTGATTCGTTGCTTAAAGATCCCTTCTGATCATAAAATGCAATAATTTCTTTTTATTTAGAGGTAACTAAAAAAAGTAAAACATTAAATTGTTAAAAAATAAAACACTGACTTTAAATTTACTATTAATCAAGAATTTCTATAGGCATGACATTTTCATGAGCGAGTGTCTTCAATCCCATATCAGCAAATCCCCAAACCAAAATCCTTTTGAAAATCAAAAGATTTCTCCTAGATTTTCAATAAACTCATTTGGTAGCAACATCTAATCTCAACAGATGCATGAAACTGTTTATGTTCCACTTCTCCCACTTCACGTAAGAGTGCTGCATTTCACTACAGAAATGCTGATGTCTGATTGCTGGAAACTGCCCAGATCTTGTTGCGGATATTACGAAATATATGATGTATGTACCATATTATCCTTATAAAACCTGAACAATCTGGCACTCTCAAATATATCAGACTCTAAAGGTCTTAAGAGACTGTGGACCTGTATCCTATATTAACCGTAGGTAATTTTCTTCCACCCAAGTCTCCATGGTCTTTCAGATTGATTTCTGACCTAGCATCACTCAGAAAGGAGGTGCAGCATCACAATTCTACGAGTTTCCTAAGAAGGAGGGTCTCCTACGTGTACAGAAAGCTTTCTATCACACATGAAGTTGCCTCTCTAACACATCAGCAATGGGGCATGAGGTTTAAGCTGTTTTCTGTTTTCTAAGTAGAAGCAATAGACTTGCGTGAGTCTCATCACACTCTCCCTGTTTTACTCAGTTCTCTTCGGTGAGACTGAGGTAGAGACACAGGCCATGGAAGGAAGAAAAAGTTAAATAAAACTCATAGGGTAAAACCATTCTCAGAATTACAGTGTGTTCTAACCAAGATGAATTATTTCAATCATAGTTCTCTGAGAAATAAACAATGATGACCTGAATGAATGAAAAGGGAATTAAACAATCATATTATTAATTCAGTGACAAAAACTTCTTTGAGTGCTAACCATCTGCCAAATGCTGTGTTAAATACTTTACATGTATTATCTCATTTCATCTATACAATAAACTCTACAGAAGCAGATAAGGAAATTAAAGTCCAGTTAAGAAACTTGCACAAGTTCACATGATTACCAACTAGAAAAGGTGAGATTTACCCTGTTCTGTCAAATTACACTTACTGCCTCTCAACAAACTCATTAGCACCATGTGCCAAGCTCTGCTCTGTGGAGGACACAGCAATGAGCAAGACAGAAACCCTCCTTGACCTCAGGCAGCAGTAATCTTTGACATCTACTTCAAGCCCTCAGTTATACAAGAAAAGAAAGGTAAACTCAGAAAAGGAAGTGATTTGCCCAAGGTCACACTGAGGGATAACATGAAGGGACAAGAGCCCAGGGTCCCGACCTTGCCCCACTCACTTCCCATTCCACAGGCCCCCTTGGCAGCTGTGCTCCGTGAACTCGGTGAACAGCATTACCAAACAAACTGTACTCCACCCTTCCCCAGTCATCACTTGCCTCCAAAGGTCAAGTCTATCCGATTGCAGCATCTCCTACAGGTAATGATGCAAGAGAAAGAAAGATTCTACCTTAACTTCCAGAGTCAAATTTAAATTTAGTTCACAGTACTGGCTGGAAAATAAACAACAGCTACATATTACTGTATTACATCGTTGACACTGCTGTCTGTCATCAGAAACAAGCACTTTTACAAAGTATGGTATTCAGACCCAGCATAAACAAGACTGTGCAGGATACAAATATCTTTCTCCTCAAGGAGATGTAAGAGGGAAGGAGTAACACGGAACATGCAGTTAAGAACACGGGCTACATGTATGTGACAGACCTGCATCCACATCCCTGCTCCGTCATTTTCTAATTATAAGATCTTGGGAATATTACTTGGTCTTTTCATGCCTCAGCTTCTTTATATGTTGGTGAGCATAATACACCGACCCCCAGTAGTTAAAATAGTCAGGTGAGGTAATATAACACATATGAAATATCAAAACAGAGTGCCTGACACATAGGAGATGGCTGATAAGGCGTAGAAAAAATTTTTTAATTATCTATTTCTACCACAACAGTATTTTCAAAGAGCCATAAAGCCAGTATTTAAAGTGAGCATTATTTAACCTCAACCAACTCAAAATACTTCTTAGTAAGAATTATGACGCGATTTCAAGGTTTAAAAAACTATGATGCCACTTTTTTTTCTTAGAAAGGAAACACATTATAAATATTTGAGTTACAGCTCAGCAACATCACTATAAACTAGGAAATATAATTTTACTGCTACCTCAAATTTGTAGTTATTCTACAGCAAAAGCATAAGTGACAAAAGAAAAAATATATAAATTTGACTTCACAAAAATTAAAAGCTCCTGTATTTCAAAAGACGTCATCAAGAGAGTGACAACAGAATGGGACACAATATATGCAAATCCTGTCTCTGATAAGGGTCTAGTATTCAGAATATAAAGAATTCTTACAACTCAATAATCCAAATACTCGATTAAAAAATGGGCAAAGGACCTGAACAGACATTTCTCCAAAGATATACAAATGGCAAACAAGCAAAGAAAAATGTTCATCATCATCAGTCATCAGAGAAACGCAAATCAAAACCACGATGAGACACCACTTCACACTCACAACGACGGCTATCATCAAAAAGACAATGTAATGAGTGTTGGTGACAATGTGGTGAAACTGGAACTCCCATACACTACTGAGAATGTGAAATGTGCAACAACTATGGACAACAGTTTGGCAATTCCTCAAAAGGCTAAACATAGTAATTAGATAACCCAGCAATTCTACTCCTAGTATATACCCAACAGAAATGAAAACGTGTCCAAAGACTTGCTCAAGAACATTCTTAGCAGATTACCCATAATAAGCAAAAAGTGGAAAGTGCCCAAAATGTCCATCAGATGATGAATGAATAAACAAAACGTGGTATATCCATCAGCAGAAAGGAGAGCTACTCAGCAGTGCAAGGGAATGAAGTACTGACACATGCTACAACACAGATGAACACTGAAAACACGAAGTGGAAGAAACCAGACACAAAAGACCAGACTGTGTGATGCCATTGATACCACACGTCCCAAACAGGCAAATCCACAGAGAAAGAAAGTAGACTAGGGGGAGGAGGGAGATGGTGACTATTTAATGGGTTACAGTTTCTATTCAGAATGAGGCTATTCTAAAATTAGATAGTGGTGACAGTTGAACAAATCTGTGAATGTATTAAAAACCACT